TGTGTGTGTGTGTGTGTGTGTGTGTGTGTGTGTGTGTGTGTGCCCAGTTGTGTGTTTTTTCCCTACATCACAGAAAGCCACAATGCAATTATAGAACATTATACCATCTTCTCAATGGTTTGACTCTTGTCTACAGATGGCTACTCTAATTACAACCCTAGTTTTCTTTTTCTTTTCATTTTTTAAGGATTTATTTATTTATTATATATACAATGTTCTGTCTCCAAGTGTCCCTGCAGGCCACAAGAGGGCACCAGATCTCATTATGGATGGTTGCGAGGTATCATGTGGTTGCTGGGAATTGAACTTGGGACCTCTGAAAGAGTAGCCAGTGCTCGTAACCTCTTAGCCATCTCTCCCACCCCCACAACCCTAGTCTTCTACATTGGAGAAAATCAGATAGCAATATCAAGTGGGTTTAGTTTATTTCAAACAACATTTGATAACAAAAAAAGCTTAAGGGGATATACTGGAAGGTATTTTGGAGGCCTATGTGATCAGCATAAAGATGGAGCAATGGACTCTAAACAGGCAAGGCCCAAGAGTGAACAGAGATAAATGGTAATACAAAGTAGAGATCTGCCAGTATGATTGCAACCATACTACCTCAACCCCCCTTCTATTTCTTTTACACTCTTTCAAAACACAGCTGAATCTCACTGTGCTTGCTCAGTTTTCTCTCGTTAAGGCTTAAAACCCAGCCTGCATATGGTGCAGAGCTGTGGTTCACAAAAGAACACACCCTATACTGGGTGTTCATAGCATTTTATGAAATACATGGGTTCAATGGCAGATAAATATTACTAATACCTATCTATAAAGGATGAAATTTTCAGGATGGCTATTCATGTAAGTTAGGGTCAGAATACATCCTAGTATCAGGAATTAATTGTCAGGTACACCATCTTAGCATGATGTATAAAATGAATGTATTTATAATGAAATACACTGCAAATAAGATTCTGATTTATTTGGGTAGTTACTCCTAAAACACATTGACAATTAATGTGTTTATAGGATATGTCATCTGGTTTTTCTTCTATCCATGAGCTGTCTCAACATTTTTTCTTTTTTCTTTAAAAAAAAAAAAAAAAGAGATAGGGTTTCTCTGTGCAATAGCTCTAGCTGTCCTGGAACTAGCTCTGTAGACCAGGCTGGCCTTGAACTCAAAAAGACCCACCTGTGTCTCCTCCTAAGTGCTGAAATTAAAGGCATGCACCCCACCACCATGCATCTCAACATTTTATATAAACAATTTGATCAAAAGAGTAGAAAAAAGTTTGATCAAATTATCCTTAAAATGGGTTTATAACTGGGCATTGGTGGCAGTGGTTCATGGCAGGCCAGAGACACAAGAAAGTTTCCCTATCTGCCCTGGCTGTGTCTAACTTGAGTTTACTGGTTTAGGACTTAAAAGGTCTGAAAAGTGTATCAAATTAAGAACACGAGCCAATTAGAAAAGACAGGAATGACAAAAATATACAAGGAGCCACATACATGATTTAAGAAGGGATTCTTGGCTTTTTCTGAGACTCTGAAAGCAAACTTTGAATCAATTGGAACTAAAAAACACATTCTTCGATCAGAACTTCCCACATTGAATGGAATGTTCTTGCACATTGAGAGCTCCTTGTAAGTCATTGTCTGCAGCTGGAATGCTTATTGAGCTGTTCTAAATGTTAGAGTACATCAGTGGATAAAATCAACAAATATTCTTGTATTAGGAGTATTTATCAATACATAATAAAACAAACAAAATATATTTGCACCATCCATCTATTCATATGCATCTACATAGCATTAAAAGATGTGTGACCCGCCTTTGGTCCTAGCACTCTGGAGACAGAGGCAAGTGTATCTCTATGAGTTCGAAGGCAGCCAGATCTGCATAGGGAGTTCCAGGACAGGCAGGGCTGTGTAGAGAGATCCTGCCTCAAAACAAACGAACAAATATAACAACAAAACCCCCAAATAAAAACAAAAATAAGTATATTTTACACTTGCAGAGGGTATATAATTCAAATTACTCACATTCCGAATTTTCAACAGCTGCAAGACCCATGGATAACATTATTAGAGAGTTCATCTGGCCTTGAACTCACTCTATAGCTAAATATTACCTTGAACTCCTGATCTTCCTCCCAAGTGCTAGCATTGTACGCATGTACCATTTATATCTGGCCCTCTGTGTTTTCTCCTTGGTGCCCTTCATGGTTTACTTTTGTTTGTTAATGAAACAGATTCTCTCTGAAAAGCCTTTGCAGTTCTGGAACTCCAGAGCAGGCTGACCTGAAACTCTCAGGGGTCCACCTGCTTCTGCCTCCAGTGTTGGGATCCAATGTGTGCACCACCATGGTCGGCCCCTTGTTTGTTTTTACCTTTTAACTTTTACCAGTTCTTTACTTTTTTTAACTTAGGATTGAACCCAAGCAAGTGCTCTGTCACTAAGTTACACCTGTGTTTTTTACCTTTTAATAACTAAATTTGTTTTGAGTTAAATGTAAAAAATCAACATTCCAGCATAGAGAGAGGAGTTACTGACCCCCACGCCTCAACTGGGGAGCTGTGGACCATTGTTGGCTTCTGAGAAAAAGAGAGCCAGTTTTCTTTAAAGGTGTAGCTCCTGGTAGGTCAACCATACTCCAGCTGAAGACCACATACCTAGGAGTATATGGAAGCACAAATTGGTTCCAGTGGTTCTTTATAAAAGAGAACATGGAGTTTGGAGATATAGGGAATTACAGTGGATCTGAAGAAGGAGTAGGGTGACTGTGATCAAGTACAGTCTAAGACATTCTCAACAAGTTACAAAATTAAAAGAAAACTACAGTTGTTAAGATGGGTTGGCTTCATTGTGAAAATGAAATACATGAATTCAATGTTATCCAGAGAAACAGAATAAACAGGTAATACAGAGAAATATACAGAAAGTATATATATATATATATATATATATATATATATATATATATATATGAAATATATACAGAAATATACAGGAAATTTTGAGTGGCAGGCTCACTCTTATTCAGGCTAGTGTATCCCATTATCTGCTTTCTGTAAGCTGGGGGGCTCAAGAAACCTAGTGATATAGTTACAGTATAAACCCAAGAACCTTGGACCCTGATGTTCAAGGTCAGGGGAGGTGTATCTCAGGGATCAGGTTTGCCTTCCTCTAGCTTACTTTTCATGTGAGCACCCAGCACATTAAATGGCCATCCACACTGGAGAGAGAAGATCTTTATTTGCTTCACTTATCAAAAGGTTAATTTCTTTCAGAAATATATCCACGGATGTAGTCAGAAATACTGCTTCACCAGCTAAATGTCTTAAATAAGACATCCATTATCCCAGTGAACTTGGCATACGGAATTAATCATCATAATGACACTTGAACAGATATTTCTGTTAATTATATGTGGAAATTATTTTAGAAGAAACACTTCAAGGTGAAAGACATGCCTTGCAAAGGCCTCAGATGGGTGTATACAAGGAAGCTACCACAGAGTTTTGCACAGCTTGGCAAAATGTTTGTGAAAGGTGATGGGAATTTGTAAGAAATTTTCAAAGGATTATGAAAATGTTTTAAAATACTGTCGTTAAAGTGAGTTGGGTTCATTGTGAAGGTAACTATAGGAATGCAATTTTATCCAGAGAAGAATTGATATGGTATGAATTTGGGTTACAGAACCTCTCAGGTCTCCTCCGTGAGCTGGTGCTTCTCTGATAACAAAGAATAATTAAGAGGAAAGGGGTGGGAAGGCCAGATGATCTATTAGTCAAGGTTCTTTAAAGTAACAGAACTTATAGAATCAACCCCTCTATATGTAGAAAGGGGATTTGTTAGAATGACTTACTGGTTTTGGGTCAGCTAATCCAACAATGGCTGGCTGTAAACAAAAAGTCCAAGAAACTAATAGTTAGTTGCTCAGAGCAGAAGGCTTGATGCCTCAGCTGGTCTTTAGTATGTGCTGGAAGAATCAGACTAATGCCACTGAAGAAATGTGTGAGAACAAGCAGGCAAAGAGCAAAAATGCCCCTCTTCTATGTCCTTACATAGACTTCCAGCAGAAGGTATGTTCCAGATTGGGTCTGGTTTAAAATGCGTCTTTTCCCAGCTCAAAGGCTTTGGATTAGAAGTGGCTCTTCCTACTTCAAATTAAGCAAAGGCCTCTCATTCCTTAATTCCATACGTAGTTAAGTTGTCAAGCAAGAATAGCCACCACAGACATCAAGAACAACAGACATGTCAGAACAGGGCTTTCTGGTAAAGGACCAGAAAGAGCAGATTGACATCAAATTGTTAGATTCTAGCATGTTTAACAACACATTAAATTATTTGGAATTACCACACAAATCGCATGCAGAGTGTTCACAGTGCAGCATCTTGGGAAGCCACACTAGAGAAAACACAGTCAGTGGTAAGGATAGTGATAGAACACTTTATATAAAGCCTTGGACAGAGATCCAAAGGAAAATAAATGGTAAGAGCTGAACTTTGGGACTCTGATGGCAATTATTTCCTGGTTATGATTTCACAGAGAAGCTAAAGGGGAGGAAACAGATGACCCAGCAACTCAGACCCTAAGACCACATCATACTTTCCCCTTCCCTGAGCAAGAGTCAAGGTGGTGTCATCCTTTGTTTTGCTTCTGAATTTATCTCCTGAGTGCTAGGAAGTTTGGTATGTTCCACCATCTCTACCTACTCACATGGGCTTCTCCTGCCTGGTGTTAGTATCTAGGTCTGAATTGGTCCTCCATTGCTTTAGTATGCATACTTGTTTGGCCTTTAGAACATTGAAATCAGCTAGAGAAAGAAAACATAAGCCCACAACACACTTATTTTGTGTCTGTAATATAGTTATAATCATGAAGCTTTGAGTAGAGGCTCAGAATTAATTAATGTGACAGTTGAAATGAGACAGACTGCATATCACCTTGTTTTTCATATATATATATATATATATATATATATATTTCTTTCCTTATCATAGGGGCCTTCATTTGCAAGATGGTGCCATTTGTCCAGTGCACTGCCATTGTGACAGAAATCCTTACTATGACCTGCATTGCCGTGGAGAGGTCACAGAGACTTGTGCATCCTTTTAAAATGAAGCAACAGTACACCAATCAAAGGGCTTTCACAATGCTAGGTATGTTTGTCACTTTGTGGCACTGTGATAAAGCATCTGAGTTGAATAACTCTGACAAATTCTTATCTTTGCTTACTGGTTCAGATGATACTCCTTGGCTATGTTGTTGCTGGGCCCTTGTGTGGTGAGGAAAAGCACATGTTGGGGAGCTTGTGCCAGATTGGGTGGCTTACCTCTTGCTAGACAGGAGGCAGAGGGACAGAGAGTAATGGTCTAGGGACATGAATGTCTTTTAGAGTCAAATAATCAGTGACCTGTGCCTTCTCTCTGGTCCCACCTCTTAATAGACCATTCTGATTAAGTTTATCAATGGAGTAATCTGCCTTTGAAGATAGAGCCCTCACTTCTCACATTCATCAGCTGACAACCAGGCCATTAACACAGGAATCCTTAATTTCAGATGCAAAGTATAATACTAGGTAAGAGCACCAGGTATGCCAATTCTATGCTAATGTCATTTCTCATTACAGAACACACCGTATCCACGCACTTTTAAGAGTAGTTTCTCACAATGTGTAAGTATTTAGGGTGTGGTTTGAGGTGTCCAGTCTTTTGCATATACCCCATCGGTTCGCTCCTTTCTGTCTCAATCTTGATACATGTTTTGGGGGCTAAAGAGATTGCTCCTCTGATAAGAGAACATACTGCTCTTTGAGAGGACCTGATTTCCATTCTATTTAAGTTGGATGGCTAACTACTGGCTGTAACTCTAGCACAGCCTCCATAGGCACATCCACTCACACATACACATAAATAAAGCAATAAAAGTAAATCTTTTAAAATGATACATGTATTTTAGAATTAAAGAAGAAGTAATAGAAGATGGTCTATAATATATTTAAAAGTTATTCATTTAGGGGCTGGAGAGATGGCTCAGTGCTTCAAAGCACTGTCTAATCTTCCAGAGGAGTGAGGTTTGCTTTACAACGCCCACATGGTGGCTCATAACTGACTTCAATGCCAGCATTCACGCAGACAAAATATCCGTACACAGAAATAAATTTCAATGTGTATGAAGTTATTCATTGATCCAACGAACATTGATCAGCTCCTACTAAGGGCTGAGAATTTTCCTTAGATTCTCATTGAAGATATTGTCTTTGCCCTGCAGCATGTCAGGGGAAGTTGAGAAGACATGAATAAGGGTAGGTACAGAACCACTAGAGAAGCAGAGTTTGTTTGGAAATGACAGCAATCTTCAAGTCACTTAGGGAAGGTGACTTCTGAGTTATCCTGGAAACAAATCCACAGATGGACAGTGATGACAGAATGACCCATGCAAGGCACAAATATGATGTCGAACAGGGCAGGGCTTTCTGGGATGTAACCATGAAAATGAGCCACTTAATCCTTCCCCAGCAGGGTCTAGGTGGGAAAACACGCCCTGGTAAAAGGAGAAAATGAGGATATATCAGGCTGTTGCTATAGAATGTGGATTTTTTACCCTCTAGGCAATTCAGTCATATAAAAGAGTTTTTAATACTATAAAATATGCAGGGGCTGGGAAGATGCCTCAGAGAGTAAGAGTGTTTGTTGTACAAGCATGAGGACCCAATGCCCACATAAAAAGACAGGCATGGCCAGGTATGTCTGTAACCCCAGCACTGGGGTGAGGGAGACAGGAGAATTACTGGGCATTTTGGCCAGGGAGTCTAGCTGAAAATAGTGAGCTCTAGCTTCAGTGAGAGACTCTATCCCAATGCAATAATGTAGAAAGTGCTAGATCATGATATCTGATGTTCTTCTCTAGGGTCTTCACACCCATGGGAGAACACAAACATATGTGCTCATGCACACACACACACACACACACACACACACACACACACACACACACACACACACACACACACTCTTTTAGGAAGACCCTTGCAAAAGCATTTTAAAGACAGAGACCCTTTGAGAAGATAATTGCTCTACCCCATGGCAGAGAAGATGGGAGCAAAGTGAACCAGGCATCGTTATGATTAGAGAGTTAAGCATGCATGTAGCTTACCGATCTGTGCTCTGTTTCGATAACTGCCATATTTTTGCAGGTGTGGTGTGGTTGGTGGCCGTCATCATAGGATCACCCATGTGGCATGTGCAGCGACTTGAGGTAGACTCAGAACTGAGATATTTTCTCAACCCTCTTCCTTGTATTCATTTTCTTTCCTTTCAGAATACTGTGGTGAATATATATGATCTCATCCATTTCACTGAAATTAGATGATGTTTTAAAATTGTCTTCCCTTATTTATTCCCTTATGTCTACTGGATACTGCACTGCTAATATTTAAAGTTCAGGTTACAAAAAGTTAAGTTCCGAAATGACCTTCTCTCCATTTTCTTAGCTTAATGTGTTTCTCTTAAAATATTCCAGTCTAGTTACATGAAGTTTAATGACTTTTTATTATTATTATTATTATTATTATTATTATTATTATTATTATTTTCTGAGACAAGGTTTCTCTGTGTGGCCCTGGATGTCCTGGAACTTACTCTGTAATCCAAGCTGGCCACAAACTCAGAGATACACCCACCTCTTCCTCCTGAATTCAGGGATTAAAGATGTGTGCCACCTCTGCTTGGCTAAATTTCTTTTATTGTAAGTCACTTAAAACTAACAGATTGTATCCTTGCTAGCAGATTTTCCTGTTGTCCTATCCATTAACAAATTGAAATCTGAATTAGAAGCATGTCCAGGTCTTAATTTTCTCCCTCTTTCCTCTTTTCAGACACCTTTTGTGAGATTCTTCTGCCATGTGTAGGGATTTACAGTAAAAGAACAGGTTAGAATAGTGGGTATGCACAGCTTAACCTGTTTACCTGGAACATTAGCATGGCTTGTAGTGTAAAACAGACATTAGTCTTCAAAGACAATAGGGCATCTATCACCCAGCCTGGAATAATAAATCTATGAAGCAGTATATTCATTCTTTTGTACCCTTAAATAGAAATAGGCAAATCTGAATCCTTCCTGAGCATGCCCTATTTTCAACGAGGATTCCAAATGAGACCTGAGATGAAAGAAAGTACATGAAAGAAAGTACCCAAGGGTGAGGGCGCTATCCCAGTGTTCCAGAGCTTGCTCAGCAAGTGCACAATCTAATACTAAAAATACAAGAATAAATAAAGTGTCCCAATATTTTTTGTGTAACTGATATATTGAGCAGGCTAGCCTCTGTGAGAGCAAAAATTAGCTTTATTCTGTTGCGACCTGTGAAAATATCACCTGAGAACTTCATAGTGAAATATGGATGGAAATTTGATTAGGCCCTGCAACTCTTCCAGTCATACAGATAATTAAATTCTTGTGGCCCTGTCAGTCACAAGCACTGTATCTGCTCTGCTATAAGATGCCCAGGACAGTGCCGAGGTCACACAAAATCCCAATAATGACCACTTTAAAATGTGGTGTTTGCTCTGGAAGCACACATACTAAAATTGGAGTTATTAAAAATCCTGTCTTTCCCTTAACTTGAGAAGCTTTCAGGCTTCTCTGCACACTCTTAGCACCTCTCTCCGAAAGCAAGAAAGAGAGGAGGGAGCCTGAGCCGATGTCTTGGTCCTGGCATGGGTGCCGCTCAGGGCTGATTATTTCTGTCTAGCTTTTTCTGATAACACATTGGAGGCTCTGGCTACACTTCCATTCTCCAACCCATTACTCATTCTACCAACTGCCTTGGCCGCCTCTTTCTGGTGACACCACCCATACCTCCAGCAGCATGTTTTATACAAGACAACATCTAGTGCTCAATCCTGGAGCTCATTCCCTGCCAGAGAAATCAAACAGATTTACCATTTTAATAAAATACTCATCACATATTCTAAATACATAAACCATTTAATTTGTAGAAAATGGATCTGTCTGCTTGCATAGACAACACCATGCTCATTGCTAAACTCAATCAAAATCTATTTGCTTCTTGTGGGAAAAAAGCCAGATTTCAGTTTTGAAATAAATATATCAATGTGCATCCCAGTACCACAATCATTTTGAGACTCCATTAGTGAGAACTGAATTGAGTTTGAGAGCCTGAGCCTGTTCCTGGGTGATAGACAGCATCAAAGCCAGTCTTTGCCTTTCACAATCTTGCTCTTTTGCTTTTTTCTCCCTGGGATCTCTCAGATTGTGAATTGACTCATAATCTTCAGAGATGGAAATGGGAGGATTCAGTATAAGTGTTCTTATTTAACCCCTCAGTGAATAAAAATGCAACCCACAGCACCCTGAACCTTATCAAAATGCCATGTTTCCCGAACTGCTTTCTAGACTGCTTTGACCAGAACTTTACTCAGGACAGGAAAACATAGAAGACTAGCCCAGTATATCTGTGGTTTCTGGAGGAGGGTACCTTTAATGACATGAGTCATTTGAATTGTGCTCAACAGCAAGGTTTGGCATGGATGTCGGATATGGCTGTTTTGAGTTGGAGTAGGTGGTGAAGGGAATGGAAATATAGATAGAGCTCAATCCCAGCCATAGTTGCAAACAATGAAAGATTAGAGAAGTGTTTGCTTGAATATAACAAAATCAGGGTAGGGGTGCAACTCACTGTTAGTGCACTTGTCTTGCATGTGTGCAAGGCCCAGAGTTTGTTCCCTATGGCCATAAGAAATGGCAAAGAGAATCTGAAACTGGTTTCATGAATCCATCTTAATATATATTTGGAGAGACAAATATATATTTGTCTATCTCTGGCATAGTATGAATCCATCTGGAGATTCACAGTTTAGCCCTGAGCTTTTGGGATGTGTCAGTACATGGCCACTATGGCCACTGACCCTTGTGAGCTCTGCCCACAGAAGTCAGAAACAATTCATTTTCAAATATGTTTTCTTAAGTGTTATCATTCATAATCATGATCATTAGTAAAACCTGAACCACAACTCAAATTGTCTTAACTTTTGAACTGATGTTGAAGACTGATGATGAGATTAAGCAGAAATATGTCCTCAAGGAACTCCATAGTGACAGAGATTTAATAGTGTCTCCTTTGTATTCCTATCCCAATTGTAAGACTAAGTATATACTTTAGATGCTTACTTTGCCTCTTGAAAGGAGCCTTTTAGCATTTGATGCTGTCTATCATGGTTGTGAACAGCGAATTAAGAACTTAGAAGGTGAGTCTACAGACTCAGAACAGCAAATAATTAAACAAATACAATGCAAACATCTATAGAGTGGCAATACTTTAAATCCAGCATCTTGTTCTTTTCATCATTTGAAAGCTACCAGCTTTCATGTCTGGTGGTTTTCACATGAAATAATGGTAGAAATATGGCTGGGTTACTCTTACTTTGAAGGAAAAAATCATGCTTGCCAAGTCTGTTTCATCAGAAGTTGAGAAAGCAAATGTATTAGTTGAATTAACATTAAACTGGCTAGGTTATGATATTTTTCCATGTGTACTTTCTAGCCAACTGAAAACACCACTGGTAGTGAGGGAGGTGTGAGAGGTTTTAAGATGTCTTAGTGGAATGACACTTAGCTGTGTTCTGCTCTTTGGATGCTGATTATTGTGTTTTGTGACAGAACTGTTCTTACTGTAAAGGTTAAATATGACTTCCTATATGAAAAAGAGCACATCTGCTGTTTGGAAAAGTGGAGCAGCCCCATGCATCAGAAAATCTACACCACCTTCATCCTTGTCACCCTCTTCCTGCTGCCTCTCTTGCTGCTGCTTGTCCTCTATGGTAAAATTGGTTACGAGCTTTGGATCAAGAAAAGAGTGGGGGATGGCTCAGTGCTGCAAACTATTCATGGAAAGGAAATGTTCAAAATAGCCAGGTCTGTTTATTAAAGTGTTCACCAGTGTTCAAAATGTGTTTGATTAGTTGTGCTGGAAGGGAAAGTTGCCTGGGTAATTCATCCTGGGCATCATTTATAATTCAGTTTGAGAGCCTGGACTTACTTGAATCCATGATGCTCTGCATTGGTGTCAAGACTCACTGTCCCCCCTCACCACCAGTGGTGTTAGAAATATGTCTTAGTCTTTCCCACTTGAGAGTGAGGTTAAAATACTGGCATGGCATGGAAATCCTTTGAAACCCCAGAATGTGGCTTATTTTAAGTGACTATAATTGATACTTTGTATTTTAACTCAAAGGCAGTGTTATCTCTATTTATTAGCATCAATTTCAAGACAAACTTTACTGCTGTATTTGTAGTTCCCATGACATAATTTATGTTGAATGACTGTTAAAACAAACAAGCTGTACCTTGCCTAGATCAGCGAGTTGACTGGATTACTTGAATTCTTCAAGTGTGCAGTGACCTCTAGTGACCAGTTAGGAAAAGTTGCCTCTGTGCACACACTGGAGCTTGAGGATAGCGGAGCACCTCCAGACCTAGGGGAACCACTTCCCCAGGAGAAAGGGTTGCCAGACTGATATGGCAGATGATGAGCCTGGACTTTTGAAACCGAAAGCACCAAGCACATACATGTGTAGATCTGTGTAGATGTAAATCTAGTTTGGGGAAATGAAAAAAAAAAACTCAGCTTGAATTCATGGTTGATCATATTTAAAGTTTTAATTCTATCCTTGAATTATAAGTACTGCTATTTATTTGCTGGATGTATGGAATGCTTTACACACATGCTGAGGGAATGGATCCCATGCCACTGAAGAGACACTTGTAAATTTAAAACCAGAGGACATCATTTATTAGCCACCCCATTGTGAATTGAAATTCTCTCTTCCCCAGTTTCTGCCTCTGTCCACTGGCTTATTGGGAAAATGAAAGCCATACTGTATGTCTGCAGTCTAATAGAGTTCAGACCCAGGTTGAGCATTTTTCACAGGGAAATGTAAGGTATGAAGACTATAAAGATGGAGGAAAGCTGATAATCTGCCCACAGACAGCCTCAACAAGTTCACCAACACTTGACAAAGTGTGGTTAAGTGAAGTAGCCTCACACAGTGATGGTTTTGCTGTCACTCTGACACATTTGCTGAGGCAAAGCTAACCAATGTTTCTTGGTCGATCTAGGAAGAAGAAGAGAGCTGTGATCATGATGGTGACAGTGGTGGCTCTCTTTGCTGTGTGCTGGGCACCTTTCCACATCGTTCACATGATGATTGAATACAGTGAGTGCCCGTCACTCTTCTGTTTTCTTTTTGGGGGGAATTTCTAGTTCATTTCCCACAGAACACACATGAAATCATTGATTTCTCACTGGTTGCCATTCACTTGGATAATCAAATGTCAAAGAGAAAACATTTCTTTTTTGTGTTAAAGAGCATCAAGCCATATTGTGCTGGGCAACTGTGCATGACTAGGACTAAGTCATTCATAGTTAGAAAAAATAAAGAATAGCTTTTTGAGTTTCTCCTATCTTGCCCCTCCTCTCCCTAAGCTGTTCAGTATGGGGAGGCACCTCGAGAGCCTTCTCTGTTTAGAACCTTGGCTTGTGCTTTGTGAATTTAATGTACCTAGGATTCTAGTCAGATGTCTGGAAGTAGTTATCCTTCATGTGTTCTCTGGGACTCAACAAGATTGTTTCTGGAATGGAAGAGAACATATAAAGGGTAACTGTGCTATGTGAAGCTTGGTGTTATTGAGTTGAAAGTCTTCGAATCCTATAGAATATGCCAGGCACCAGCCAATGCATGGGTGAGCACATATTACAAAAGTGTTTTTATCCTGACACCAGATGCCTTTTTCAAAGTAGTGCATGAGAATGATTCATATCCTTAGCTAGCCACTTGCACAAGTGCAAAACTTTGTAAATACTTCTGATAGAAATTTACGGTTATCTCTTAGTCAGCTCAATAAGTGTTCTAAAGTATTGCTTTATTTCAGGTAATTTTGAAAAGGAATATGATGAAGTCACAATCAAGATGATTTTTGCTATAGTGCAAATAATTGGATTTTTCAACTCCATCTGTAATCCCATTGTCTATGCACTTATGAATGAAAACTTCAAAAAAAATTTTGTGTCTACAGTTTGCTATTGTGTAGTAAAAGAAACCTTCTCTCCAGCACGGAAGCATGGAAGTTCAGGAGCTATGGTTATGCAGAGGAGAGCAAAGTTAGCTAGCAGAGAGAATCCTGTAGGGATCAGAGAAGAGGCATTTGGGAACAACAACATCAGTGTCAAGTGGTGTGAACAGCCAGAGAAGAAGAAGAAGAAATCACAAGTGGCAACTTGTCCTCTTTAGTTCTGAATTTCTGAGACCTCTGCTATAGATGTGGACATTAATTATAACAGTTTCTTCAGAATCAGCACCCATCGTATGGTAATTGAAAGAAAATTATGTTGAGAAAAGTAGAGAGCTTTCGTATTAAAAATGTTGACAAGCACTTAAAAGGTGGGAGTGGGAATTGGGAATTTAAAATAATCCTCAGCTGCATAATGAGTTTGAGGATAACCTGGGCTACAAGGGACTCTGTCTCAGGAAGCCAAAATAATAACAACCATTGATAGTGACAAAACACTTCTCCATTGAAAATACATATGAACTATCACTTTTAAAAATTATTTGGCCATTCTTGTGATTGCTAGGTGGAGTTTTTTTTAACTTTAAAAAATTTGTTTTTGTTTGTATGCGTGTGTGTATGTCTGTGTACCACATGCATGTCTGGGTGCTGACAGAGGCCAGAAGAGGGGACCCTGTTTCCTGGAAATGGACTTGCAGATGGTTGTGTGCTGCTACATGGATCCTGGGAATCAAACCCAGGTCCTCCCTGAAGAGCAACCATCTCTCCTGTCTTAAAGTGGAGTTTTAAAAATCTTGTATAAAACTTGCCAGGTGGTGGTTGTGCGTGCCTTTAATCCCACCACTGGGGAGGCATAGGCAGGCAGATCTCCATGAGTTCGAGGCCAGCCTGATCTACAAAGAGAGTTCCAGGACAGTCTGCAAACCTACATAGAAACCCTGTCTTAAAAACAAAACAAAGCAAAACAAATAATCTTGTATAAAACTTAATGTTCTTGGCTAGTAATTTTTGTTTCTGTGATATGCCTTTCTATGTGTTGCTAAATTGAATGAAAACATTAACAATGCAACTTATTCCTAGAATATTAATTTAGTATTGGAGTATCACTTGTGACTGTTGAAATTGTGCTCATTCTTTTGCAAATGAAGCCCATACCACAGTCTAAGAAAACACAGAAGCAGCCAAGTGTCAAGTGCAACTTAGCAATATAGTACACAGACTGGAGTTTCCTAAAGACCCAAGTGACCATTTCTGTGGTGACTGACAAGTCTCTTTTCTTTTTTTAGTTTCCATTTGTTCCTGTATAAACTGAGGTTGATACCTGCTCTACTTCTTAAATTCATCATGGAAACTAGATGAGACACAATTAGAAAAGAAATTTGAATAATAAAGCAGTCATGTCTTCTGAAGCATTGTCCTGCTCATGTCCCCAGGTTCCCCTCTTCCTGCTGAGTCTTGTCTTGACCCTGTCCAACTTGTCCCTCCTACTTACATTTTATTTCTCTACTTGGAATAATCACTTGAGGGACCTAAAGAATTGGCAGGACATACCCACTCTCTCTCCCCCCATACACACACACACATAATTTAAAATACAAATATTTGTATCGTTAAACCATTTATTTTCATTAGTGGGATGAACAATCTTTTCTTATATAAGTGTAATAGGTTGACTACAGTTGAGGTATAACTGAATGCTACTTGTGAAATTTTCTGTTCCGGGGCTGCCCCAAGACATGGATCAGGGTACTGAAGAGATTTGTCTACCGAGATTTCTTCCCTCCAACCCCCTCTCTTTGGTCTTCTAACTCGAACATGTCACAGACTCAGAGGCCACCATCAGAACACCAGGCCATTTCCCTTCCATCATCTAAGATTTTCAAAGTCTAGTCATAGCCTTGTAGCCTAAATGTTTCTTCTGCCTCCAGTTTCCAGTCTTGATTGCTCTCAGCTGCTAGTAAAAATGCCAAGAACACTAAGGCTGTTTTGTGGTGTAAGCTTTAAAAATTGGGAACCAGAAAACTTAGGCTACCAGATACTTGGTACAGACTGTCAGTGTGTCAATGAAGCATTCATGGAAAAGATGAAGATGAAAAAGTGTGTTGTATTGGGGGAGGGGAAACGCCAATATGATAGGGAAATTAGCAAACCAAAGAGAGGGAGGCTTGTGTGTGTGTTTGGGAATGGGTTGTTTGGGTTCTGTTGTCAACTGTCAGCCTGTATGCCTGTGAGCCTGTATGCCTAGCTATCCTGTTGCTCATTAAATACCGAATATTACCATGAATCTGAATCACTGACTTTGGTTACCTTTATCATTGGCTGTATTTGTAAAACTTCTACTCTAAATATGAAAACATGTTAAGTCAGCAGTTATTAGCCTCTCCATTATTGAACACTAAAGGATTTGAAAGCAGTAAAGAGCTGAGCCTAAATATTTAGATACTAGAAAATAGTGAATATTTAAAATTGTAGCCAGCCTATGAGAGTGTCTGATGTCTAAGAATGTTGAGTGCTCATTCAGACATTCACTGATTAGATTCTGAATTTCTTCACTCAACAGCCATCTAGTCAACCATTAACTCATTTATTGGGGATTTAATTTGGGAAGATCATCATAGATTCAGGATATTAATGTCATTTTATCAAATGGTGGAAAATTTACTTTAAATGTTGTGCACTCGCTACTCCTATAAATAGTCCTTCAAATTTTTCTAATATGGAAACTGTTTCCTAATTTATATGTTTAACTTAAATGTGTATTAAAATATTTTGTTTTATCCTGAGAGCATTTTTTTTAAAGAAAGGCATCTCATTTAATGAAGATTTAAAAAAATAATGAATAAACACACTCCTTTGGCTAAAACACTGGAAATTTAATAAAAATAAATGCTCACTCTGAAACGTGTGTGTGTCATGAAAAAAGCATTCAGATGAAATACACAAGTTAAAAAAAATAATTTGGGACTCGAAAGAATTGCCTGTTTTGGAATGGGGATTGTTGGAGATGGTGAGGAATGGGAGTCATGCATAAGGAAGAAGATGCAGAGCTGACCATAAACCAGAAGGCAAAAAGGCCTGAGATAAGCAGTGATGTTCTTAAAGCGTGAAACATACTTAGCCAGAAGCCAGTTTATGAGATGTAAGTTTCTGTGCTCTGAAACTTTTGATAGTGTGGGGATATTTCTGCCTTCTGCTATTTATTTACTATCCTGGTTCAAAATTTTTCTGAAATATTTTCTTCAGTTCTCTTACAAGTGACAAAATCCAGATAATACCAACTTTCTGTTCTTTGAAATGTTTTAAGTGTGAATCTAATGATGTTAAGCACTTCTGACGTGCATCCATATACACCACCAGTTTTCACGTGTATTCTAGATTACAAAACTAACCGTAAGTGACATCTTCTCACTTTCTGGTCCAGCAGCCACCTCTCGCATTCCCTTCATATGCTTCTGACTCCTCTCATTTTCTCTGGGGAAGGAATCCTGAGAGCATGTTTAAAGAGACAGGTTTACAAATAAACTATTTGAATTTATTTCTTCTCAGGTTGCCTTTCATTTCCCCCTCTAATGCAGGTAATACAGCTGCAAGAATTGCATGGTAAGAACCTGACAGCACATAGATTATTGGAAGTCTATGTAGTGACTGGTTTATTCCTAATTTTGGCATTTCTGACATAAATTTATAATTACACACAATTATGCTATTTCCTCTGGGTTTTTAGTGTACAGCGTCAGTTTAAGAACTTTTGACAGGCATTGAAAGTCCCATAGTGTCCTTGTTTCATGTTACCAGTTGTCTTTGGTGACCCTAGATAGCATTTGGAAAAAAAAAAAAAAAAAGCTAGAGCCCTCAGCCTTTGGACTGTGTGAGGTATTAAGAAGGATGAGAGTTCTGTATGTGTGTTTTGTGTGCGTCAGCCTCTGAGGATGCTTGTGTTGTGGGCTGAGATGTACTTCTCTCTTTAGGGAAATGGAAAGGATAGAGCAAATTGGCAACAGTTGGTGGGTGACATACTCCATACATGGAGTAATGTTCTGGTGATGGATTTTCCCAAAGGGAATCGAATTTCTTAGCATACTGTTTTTCATATTTCAAAAAAGTGGTTTTTCTTTTCTCTCTGCCACAGGGGGCTTTTTCCTGTTTCTTCATTGTGAAGCACTGGGACTTCTTGGCGGTAAAAGCCATAATATTCTGTCCCTCCATCAGTATTGCAGCAACCAGGGATTTCTCATTCATGTTAGTGGCATAAGAACATTTAGCTTGCCCACATTTAATGAATGGTAATCCTACGAGTGATAGCACAGTATGCTCACGTGGCCACCCATGCTCAAAGGGTACAGAAATGCACAAAAGCAAAGCTTACTAAGAACAATATTCAAATTCTGTCTCTGCAACGTGACATCTCAGCAAGCTGAGTTGGTGGGGACACAGAGTCAGTCTGTGTTCATCAGGAACAGTGCTGTATTCTCTTCTCTGAAGTGATTGCCAGAACCTAAAAGTTTTCTTTTACAATTCAATTAACCTTTCTGACCTTCAGTTTTTTGTTTAATAGCATCATCCAACATTCTTGTTACAAGGGTTTGTAACATGATGTTTGTTAAAATCTTATTTGTGAGGCGCTTGTAAATTATACCTATATCTGAATTATAAGAACAGTTTTAGTACAAGTGACTTTGATTTTCTATGGGATAGGAATGGGTAGAATGAGCCAGGTTCCCATTCCCCTAGAAAAAAAACTATGATGGAATGTACTGTTGTTATCACAGTGCTAAAAACGGACATGAAACTGAGAGCCCTAACATTGTCTTCTGGCTTTTAAAGGGGCATTGCACTATGTCTGTCTGCAAGAGAAGAGTAATTTTATGAGTACTTTTTAATGAATATTATGAATAACTACTCAGAAGAAAAAAATGTTGCCAGAGCCTCATCTCATACAACTACAATAAAAACAATAGTTTATTTACATGATTCAATGCCACTACTAGCCATACCATGGTGACCATCCTCTTTCTGGAGAAACCTTGAAAGCCTTCAGGTAGTTATTTGTTTGATTTGTCACTGATTTGTGCTTCTCAGGTGGGCAATGTTAACCAACCACGTCTGTGCTTCAACTTCTTCTCTCTATAGTAATAGTTCAACCATATTTGTATTCCCTTGATCTCCTTTTGTTGTCTTATTGCTCTAGCTAGAACCTCAAGGACAATATTGAAGAGGTATG